ATTATAACTTAATATTAGATAAATATGATATGATATTAAATAAGTATATATATAATATTATAAGTAACTTTTTAAATAAAAAATATATTATATAATAATACATAATATTATAATTATAATATTTTTATTTTTTAAAAAAGGGAAAGAAACCAAAAATAGAAGCAATTGGATTTGGACAAGATAACAATCATGATATGATAATGTATGTTTATTTTTTTTATTTTAAAATAATTATTTTTTAATTTTGATTTGTTTTAAATGAATTATTATTATTTTTTAATTTTTAAGGTAAATAAATATTTTTTACTTTAATTTTATTATTATCATCCAACACAAAAAAAAATTATTTTTTAAAATATTATAGATAAATATAAATAATATCTCTAAATTTTTAATTTTAAAAAATTAAAAATTAATTATTTTAAAATAAAAAATAACATTTTATTTTTCATCCACACCCGTGGATTGCGCGTGTGTTTTTGTTTTATTTTTCGTCCACATCCAAATTTGACCAATGGCACCTTGTATTCCAAAAGTAGAAAGCAATTTCCTTTCTGAAAGGAAATCAGAATGTGAAAAGCAATGGGACAGGATAATAATCATGTAAGCATGGGTGTTGGTGCATTATTGCAAGCATTAATAATGCTGGGAGACCCGGATGCGCGTATGCCTTTTTATTTTTAATAATAGAAACAGAGCGATTGAACTCTAATTTTATTTTTGACTAGAAATGGTTTTTTTTTCTTTTTTTTTTTTTTAATCTTGGGGTTTTTTAAGGTATAGGTTAAAAAAAAAATTTTTAACAAATGGTTAAAATGTTTTTTAAAGTATTTTTTTAAAACTACCTTGATTTATAATAACCCCTTTTTTGGATGAAAAGAAATGAAAAAGGCCAAAGCAATGGGATAAGATAATCAGGTCGATGGGTAGGCGTTGAATTATTGGCTAAGGGCAAAATAATGCAGTGAGGCCCACTGCGGGCCCAGTTGTTGCTGATACAGGAAAATGATAGAACTACACAGAAGTTAAAATTTTCTGTTGCAAGGACTATTTTGCCCCTGTCATGACCGAAGTCATTCTTCGTCCCTTGCTTCCAATTTGGTGAAGTGTGGACGACACCTCCCTCCTGCATTGACTTCAAGTCAAGGCCATCGTCAGTGGCAATTGGCGACAAAAACTCATGAGTGGTTTTACGGACTCTAACCTCTCTCGACTAGAATCGGCGTATGTGCACCGGGAGATCCACGCAAACAGCTGTTTCTTACCAAAAAAGTTAAAAAGGAAAAAAAAAAAATATTTTTGAAACCACGAAGTAAAGTTATCATTCAGTTTTAGAGTTTGTGAAACCGACTTCATGAATAGAAAGGAAGGTGAAAAAAAGAGTATATTTGGCTAAAATGAAAAGATATAAGTTTGAAAACAGGACGATAATTTGTAAATAAAAAATATTGTGCAGCATAAAATGTATTAAATTATATAATAAAATTATTAAATAAAAATAAAATTTTTTAAAAGTATATTTAATTTTAAAAAATTAGAATTTTTTTTATTTAGTTGCAAAATAATTAAAAGGAAAATGAAGGAAAGAAAGTTATTTATTTTATTTTTTCTTTTAATTCATTTATTTCTCAAAATTAGTTTTTCAAAAGAATAAAACTTTATTTGTTAAAAAAGTGTAAATGTGCTTTATATATTTTTTACTTGTGCAAAAATTTTATTTTTCATTAAACTATCTTATTTACCATCATGATATAATTATAATGTCATATATAATTATAATTTTATAATCATGACTCAATATTATATGAATATGATGTGATATTAAATAAATAAATACATAAAATTTCATTAAATATATTTTTTGAATAAAAAAATATATTATATAAAAATATATTATATTATAAAATTATAATATCA